TTGAGCTACTCCACCAGCCCTTTTTTGTGATGGGTTTTCTTGAGATAGGGTATCTCGAACTATTTGCCATGGGTTGGCTTCAAAATTTAATACTCCTGACCTCTGTCTCTTGAGTAGCTAGGATTACAGGCACAAGCCATTGGTGCCTGGCTCATTTCACTCACTATTAAAATCAACGCATTGGTACAAACAGTTTGGAAAATTGTTTGGAAGGATCTATTCAAGCTGATGGAGGCTTTCTCTACGACCCAGCAATTATACTCTTAAGTGTGGACAGCCAAAGAACTCAGATTATCTGCTAATGGTGTGTACTAGACAGTCATAGGATCCCCAAATGAGAAATGACTCAGAAATCTAAGAATATGTTCACAGAATGGAATATCACATAGCTTGTTTTTTGCATGCATTTAAACTAGGATTTCCTGCTGCCCCAAGAACAAACTCTTCAAGTGGCTTTCATGGACTTGCATGCCCTTTCCCTCCCACGTGTCTGCCTTCATGTCCCAGAACTCCCTCAGCCAGGCTCAGTGGATATACCATTGTCCCTCAACACACCATGCCTCTGTCCCCCTAAGCCTTTGTATTTCCTGTCCCTTCTACCTGGAAACCACTCATTCACCTGCCTGCTTCACATGCTTCAGGTATCACTTTAGAAATCACCATGCCAGAATCCTTCTCCAAGACTCTGGCTGGCAGGGGAAAGGGGGGAGAAATGACCCAAACATTGTATGCACATATGAATAAAAGAAATTTTAAAAAATTAAAAAAAAAAGACTCTGGCTGGATCTTTGCACTCCACTGAACTCCAGCAGAGTCCTGGGCTTCCCTTATCATAACTCTGATGCCTCTGTCATTCCTGGACATATGATAGCCCCCAAAATGAAAAGCTGAGGGAAGATAACACATTTGTTCTTGACATGGCTGGATCCCATCATGTAGAATATTTTCATTTCTAACAAGTATGAAGCACACATTTGTTGACTCAATGAAAAAAATAAAAGAAGTCAATATGCTGTGACAATGTAGAAAGAAGAGATTGTGAATCCAAGTAGATTCATGCAATTGCTTTCTCATTACCTGGGGGATTTTGAAGGACAAAAGGGAGTTTCCCAGACAATGTGGGAAAAGACATTCTCAACAGAAGGATCTGTGTGAACAAGGACATGGAAACAGGTCAAGGATGGGGAGAGGGAAATACGTAAATATAGACTTGGTGTAGACCGTGAAGGGATTTGAAGAACTCAAGAGTGATCTCTTTGGGGCCGGTAAGAGGCAAGGTCAAAGTTCGGAACACCATGCAGGTTGAGGCCAGTTTCTAGTTGGAATGAGGGGACTATGTCATTTCTTACCCCTAACTTCTTAGGTTCACCACTCCCCATACCTAGGGGAAACTGAGCTTATCCCATGTATTATTATTGGTAGTGTATCTCCTTTGCTCAGCAGAAAACTGAAATGTGAGTAAGAGAGGAACAGATAGTCATTCAACAAAAGAAATGGTGGAGTCTATGAACTCATTCTTTATTGATGGCTCTGGTAACAAGAGACCAGAGGGAGAAAGAACACAGGAACAGGCTTGGTGATAAAGTAGAGATGGGTCAGGTTGGTTCTTATAGGTTCTTACTGGTTCTTATAGGACTACATTTCTATGTGTCACTCCAGTAGAACATAATTCTAGTGACTCTTGATCCTCCCGATCTCAGCCTCCCAAGTAGCTAGGTTTACAGGCATGAGCCACTGATGCTTGGCCTTATGTCTTATAAACAGAAGTTTCAATATTTATTCATTTCACTTTTCTTTTTAAAATAATCAGTTTGACTTATTCCACAATGTATACATATATCAAAACATCACATTGTACACATAAATATTAATAATTTGTTGTAAATGAAAAAGTTTTTAAAATGTTCATAGCAATATTGTTGATAATAACCAGAAAGTAGAAACAACACAAATATCCATTAGTTGTGAATAAGGAAAGTGTGATATGTCCACAAATGGAATATTATTTAGTCCTAGAAAGTAATGAAACATTGCTATATGCTACAAAATGGATGGACCTTGAAAACCTTATGCTAAGTAAAAAAAGTAAGACACAAGAGGCCATATATTATGTCATTCATATGAAATGTCCAGAATGAGCAAATCCATGGAGACAGAAAGTAGGTTAGTGACTGCACAGGATATGGTGATGAGGGCAAATGGGACTAACTACTAATAGGTATAGGGTTACTTTGGGGGAAATATAAATATTCTGAAATTAGATAGTAGTGAAGGCTGGACAACATAAATAAATATACTAAAAACCACTGAAGTGTACACCTTTAAATGGTGAAGTGTAACCCAAAAATTTAATATACGTAAAAATTTAACATAAATAAAAGCCTTCACTTGGTCATCACACTTTCGTTTGAAAAATCTCTGAGGCCCAAACATGGCAACAGCTTAGAGTAACATAAGTCTAACCCACAGAGTGGTGGGCGTAGAGGGGACATATCACTTCACTTTTCTCACAAAAATATGTGCACCGGCATTTGCACCACTATATTCAGAGCATAGAGTGGCTGGGTTATTTGTACTTAATGCTGTATGTTATTAGTCTATGATGCCGCCCTGGGAGGGATGTTCAAAAATGATCATGAAAAGCATATTTTCAGAGGAATGGAAGCTTGGCTACAATAGTGAGGCTGTCTCTGTCTCTTCCTTGGCTTATACTCTGACAATTTAGTTAAACATATTGGTCCCCTTAGATTCAGAGGTTTAAGGAGAAGTACTATAAGCATTCGATGGAAGTGAATATACTTTGAGATAAGGTTGATTATGATTTACAACAGACGGTCTTATAATTTTTGATGTTAGATGGTGGGAAATGTGCTCAGAACTGTCTTCGATTTTCAAGGTTTGCTTTCTTGCCAGGGCAGCAACATGAAGTGAGATACTGTGATGATGCTGGGAACAGCAGTGAGCTCCAGCAGAGTGGGCATGCTGCATAAAACACAGACATATTGCATAGTGTATTCAGTGAACTGCATGCTACATGCAACACGTCATGATAAAATACACTGAAAAATGTGAGAGATTTCTGCATGTCCACAGTAGGCTGGGTTTGGTCTTGATGTTCAGTAGGTAAGTTATACTACTTGTTTGCATGAAGGAAGGTGAAAGAAAGAAAGAAAGCTGATAACTATATCTCTAATATTTGTAAAGCTTTTTTTTTCTTTTTTTGGTGGTACTGGGGCTTGAATTCAGGGCCTTCACCTTGAGCCACTCCACCAGCCCTATTTTTGTGAAGAATTTTTTGAGATAGGGTCTTGTGTAACCATTTCCCTGGGCTGGCTTCAAACTGTGATCTTCCTGATGTCTGCCTCCTGAATAGCTAGGATTACAGGCGTGAGCTACTGGCGCCTGGCTAAAATTTGTAAAACATTTTGAATAAAAAAATAACCAAAGTTTCTCTGTTGTCATTAATAGAACTGAGTGGTATTTCTTATTAATTAGGTTTCTCTTCATTCTATTTTTTGAAGAATAGGTAAGAACTATTACGATTACCAGATAGAATTGCATGCACCCCTCAGTATATCCAGTAGAGGGAGATACAGATTCTGTGGAGACTGCTCTTGTGATGAACCACACAGTCACTTATGGTGTGTCGAGAGATTTATTATTAATTCATTACCTCTTATGTGACAAAAGGTATGGTGTTGGGAGCAAGCAGACACTTAAACAAGCATGATTTGTCTTTGCTGTGATTAGAGAAAGACAAATCAGAAACATAAAACTTTTAACAATATAAGCATGAAAAGTACAATTTACAGGAGGGAAAACACCTTAAGTTGTTTGCTCATGACAATAATGACTGATGACAACAAAGGAAAAACTTGGCAAAGTGTGATTATGAATGGATGTTTGGAGATAATCTTCTCAGAAAATAAAAAAAATAACATTTGTTAATCTACAACTAGTTTGGAAAGAGTTGTTTCTTCAAAAAAAAGCATGTACAGAAATTTTGTTTAAGAAAATAAACATCAAGAAGTAAAAAAATATATATAAAGTAGAGGTAAAAAATGTCATTTGTTCTGGAAGAGACACTATATATTATATATGTATAAAAGTTAACTTGCTACATGAAAGCAGTAAGAAAATGCCAACAACTAACAAAAACTAATTTTTGGTAGCCTATTGCCCACAATTACTTAAAAATTATATAAAAATTAGGTCTACTCACATATTAAAAATGCACTTCCATTTACCCATGGATCAACAAGTTTAAAATAAAACTTATTAACTGATTTGATTTTTAAAAGATACTACTTATTAAACTCATGTATTATTGCTTAAATTTACAAAATTATGTCACCTTAATGTTTATTTTCAAGAGTAAACAATTAGAAATACATAGCCTAGAGATCTACTTTAAGATGAGCCACCAACAAATACAGTATGTTTAGGAATTTTTTATCATTTCTTTTAGATTGTATATTTTGTGGGGAATTTTACACAAATTACTTTGCATCAAGTTCTTCATGTTATTTGTGTTTATATGATTCTGCTACATGAGGAATTTGTGGACTTTGAACTTATTTGTTACAAGTGATAATTTTCTTCTATTTTTCACAGTCACAGGGTTTTGATTCAATGTGAATTAGCACATGGTGCCAACTGAAGACTTGCACATCTCCAAGTTTTCTTTCCATATTGTGGGGTTTACTTTTGTGTGTATGTGTGTGGAGGTACTAGGGTTTGAACTCAGGGTCTCGCACTTGTTTGGCTGGTGCTCTACCATTTGAGACACACTTCCACTCCCCATACTGTGCTCTTTTATATCTGTGAATTGAACCCAAATGACTAAAGATGCTCACACGTGCTTTTACGGTGATTCAAGTCTCCTCCACTGTGCATCCTAATAGTTCCTACAAAGTTTGTGTGATAAAGATTGCCCACCTATAGTTAATGTTACTCTCCAGTGTGAGTTCTTTCATGTATTTGAATGTAACTAGAAGAACTGAGGCTTTCTCACATTGCTTACACATAAAGGGTTTCTCTCCAGTGTGAATTCTGTTATGTCTTTGGAAGGAACTCTAATCAGTGAAGGCTTTCCCACAATATTTACATACACAGGGTTTCTCTGCAGTGTGAGATTTTTCATGTTTTCTGAAGGAACTGGGCACACAAAAGGCTTTGCCACATTGTTTATATACATAGGGTTTCTGTCCACAGTGTGTTTGTTCATGTCTTCGAACATTACTCAGAGAACGGAAAGCTTTTCTACATATCTTACATCCACAGGGTTTCTATCCACTGTGAATCCTTTCATGTTTTTGGATGGAACTATAATCCCTGAAGCCTTTCCCACATTGCTGACATACATAGGGTTTCTGTCCAGAGTGAGTCTTTTCATGTTTTCTAACTGCACTGGAAGAAGTGAAGGCTTTCATACACTGCTTACATTCATAGGGTTTTTCTCCAGTGTGAGTTCTTTCATGTATGTGAATATAACTGGAACAACTGAAAGTTTTTCCGCATCGCTTACATTCACGGTGTTTCTCTCTACTTTCATGCTTCAGAAAGGACTGGGGATAACTGAAGGCTTTATTCAGCTTCTTCCCATATTCCTGAGATTCATATGGTATGTGTTGAAGATGACCTCTGGGGGCACATTTACTGATGAATGACCAATGAGGATGTCTTGCCATATGTGACTTTCACATGGTGTTACATCTGTAGGATTGTTCTTATTCAGATAGGATCTACAAACTGGCTGAAGATTTCTCCACACTGACCACCTTGTTTATTTTCACAGAGTCTTCCTACCATTTGGCCTCTGTAAGAAAAGGAGCACATTACTAAATGGTTGTTTATTCATGATTTACCATGAAAGATACTGGTTTAGTCCCTGAAAGAATTTTTAAACATGAATGGCCTGAATGCCCTTTAGGATGGCTTGAGGATGGCTATTACTGAAATGCTATTACTTTAGCATTCACATAATGTTTTTTCTTTTTTCTTTTCTTTCTTTCTTTTTTTTTTTTTTCGTGGTACTGGGGCTTGAACTCAGGGCCTTCACCTTGAGCCACTCCTCCAGCCCTTTTTGTGATGGGTATTTTCGAGATAGGGTCTCGCAAACTGTTTGCCCAGGCTGGCTTCAAACCGTGATCCTCCTGATCTCTGCCTCCTAAGTCACTAGGATTACAGGCGTGAGCCACTGGTGCCCAGCATAAGGTTTCTTAATACTGTTTCCAGGTTAACTATTTGAATGCACCACGTGTCTAAATGACATTTAAATAGAATCAGTGTTCTTTGTAGGACAAAATTTGTATTGGATTTTGAAGTATTGCTTATACATAATGAGATATCTTGAAGTCAAGTTCCAGTCAAAACACAAAATTCATTTTTGGTTTCAAATATACATTATACCCCAAACCTAAAGGTTTGTTAAATTTTTAATAATTATGTCCATAAAACAAAGTTTGGGTCCATTAAGGTTTCGGAAGCTGTCACTTGTGGCATCATATTGGTGTTCAGAATGATTTCAATATTGGAATATTTCAGATTTCAAAATTTCCAAGTATGGATTCTCACCCTGTAGGCAGCAATGGAGATTTTTGCATGAAATCAATTTGAGCCTGGGCTTTTCTTTCTTTTTTTTTTGGTGGTACTGGGGTTTGAACTCAGGGCCTCACATTTGCTAGGCAGGTGCTCTATCACTTAAGCCACTCACCAGCCCTTTTTTGTATTGGGCATTTTCGAGATAGGGTCTTGCGAACTATCTACCTGGGCCGACCTTGAACCTGGATCCTCCTAATCTCTGCCTCCTGAGTAGCTAGAAATTATAGGCGTGAGCCACCGGTGCCTGGCTGAGCCTGGGCTTATTTCTATCATTTGCTTGTTTTTAAAATTTCTTGTCATTCCACAGCTCCTAAGGGAAATTGCTTTCTCTTGTGAATATAAATTACCTTAGACTTCTCCAGGAATTTTTGTTGTTATTGTCAATATTAAGATCTTCCTTTCCTTTTCCTAAAATAGAAACCAAAAAAATCATTATGAACAATTATAACATTATCAAATTCTAGCTATATTTATGGTGTAAAGGAACCATACCTGGTATATTCACCAAAATATTCCTTTTCCATATTCCACATTGTGGAAACAGCACTGACAAGCAAGAAACATTTTTCTCTGATTGACTAAGATAGGGAATGTTGTTAGCTTTACATACAGCAACCAGGCTCCTCAAGGTTTCCTGCATCACATCTCTGTAGAGTTTCTTCTGGGATGAATTCTGCAAAGCCCACTCCTCCATGGTAAAGGTCACAGCTACATCCTCAGAGGTCACTGACTCCTAAAATATCCCACATAATCTCCATGAGGAAGGCTGAGACTCATAGCATTGGAGATACAGACTTATTCATACCATGTTAATACAGTGCTGTTTTCCAAATGTTCACTTCATGTCCTGGTCATCACACTCTTATTCTCCATCCATATATCCTCTCACACAGAAATTCTGACACTAGGTTGGATGCAGAATAGAAACACATACATGAGCTGCATCATTCCAACTTCTCCTTGTGCACTCAGTCTGAAGCACCTTTCATGACAAAATCCTAGTGCTTAGTGTGCACTAGGGAGTCAATACCAGCTGCCCTGACATTGCATATTCTTAGAAATGCTTCTGAACAAAAGGTCATTCTTTTTAATATGTAGGAACTGTATTGGATTGGACCTCACCAGCCTAACTGTAAAGAGAGGCACAGTGCTCCTAATAGTTTATGCCAACACTATGCTATTTGTTTAAGTCCTATTGTCCATCTGAATGCTTATAAGTTTCTGACATGGTCATTAAAGAAAGCCCACCAGATCATCCCCTCAAATATACTCTGGTGAGTCTCTGATGAGCTCCTCTGATAGATGATATTTAACGCCTCTGTCACAACTTGTTACTTTGGAAACTGAATACTTCCTCTGTAACTGTAATAATAATATTTGAAAGCTTGAACCTGGTTTCCTATACGCCACATTCATTAAAAATTAAATGAATCTCATGAAGGATAGATAGTTCACTGTGCTGATGGAAAAATATTACAGATTTTATTGGACATCTGAAAGGAGAGTGAAATCAGAGGAAGGATATTCTTTGAGTTCACTGTCATCAAGAGGTCAGTTTTCACATAGATGTATAACATTCTATGACTTCCAAAATACACCTTTGACCAGTCAACAAAAACTACTTATCAAATCTTGTACATAAAATAAATGTCAAACATCACCTAAAATCTTTGAAATAAGAAAGTGATAGCGTGCCTGATATACAAGAGACATTGAAACTATGCTATTTGGAATACTATACTCTTTTTTTTCTGGAAACAAGATTTTGCTGTATCGACCAGGCTGGCTTTGAATTTGCAATCCTCCTTCCTCAGTTATCTAAGTGTTGGAACTACCAGAAATTACCCACCTACCTATATACTATAGTATTAGCATAGAGATTAATAAATAGATCACAGAAAGGAAAACAGTCTTCAATATGCTGATATGTAAAGAGGAAACTGACTCATAAAAGAGCACAAATTATACAAAAGTGGCAGGAATCACAATCTCTTTAATACAAGAGGCAAACACAAGTTGGTGTATACTAGGAAACATACATTTCCCTCTATAATATGACAATAATCACATTCTACATTGAATTAGAAAATAACCTGAATGCTTTGAAAAGTCCCAGTTAGATGTATTTTGGATGTTAGAGAGCTTTCTTGTAAGATAAATAGCCATAAGAAATAGAAGGAGAAATTTAAATATATGAAAATTAAGGAAGGTAAAAGACCAACCAACAAAATAGAACAAAAATATCTGTATTACATACAATATAAATAATTAGTGAGCTGGGTGCTGGTGGCTCACGCTTGTAACCCTATCTACTTAGGACTGAAATCAGGAGGACTGCTGTTCTAGACCAGCCTGGGCAAATAGTTCATGACATCTCTTCTCCAAAATAATGAGAGCAAACTGGACCGGAGGTGTGGCTCAAGCAATAGAGCACCTGCATTGTAAGCATGAAGTCCTGAATTCACATCTCAGTCTCCCACCAAAAAATATAAGTAAACAAATAAGAACTAGTGTTCAGAGTAAAAATCAATGAACACGTGAACCAGAATACATGTAACTCAAGATAAGACCCCATATATTAAAAAAGATCGATGAGCCAAGTGCTGGCGGCTCATACCTGTAATTCTAGCTACTCAGGAGGCAGAGATCAGGAGGATCAGTGCTCAAAGCCAGTCTGGGAAAATAATTCTAGAGACCCTAGACCCTATCTTGAAAAGAAACAATCACAAGAAAGGGCTGGTGGAGTGGCTCAAGGTGTAGGCCCTGAGTTCAAACCCCAGTACTGTAAAAAAAAAAAAGGTTCATGGCCTTGGAAGAGGAACTAGCCAAATAAATTGTGAAGTGCTGAAGACCACAGCAAACAAAGAATTATACATGGAGGATCAGTTGATACCTTCCACTGCCATTTTCTATAATTTGAACTGTAATGTAATCTACAGACCAGTCATTTTTGTCTAATGTCCAGAGAATGTGTTTGCATTTGTTCTTGTTGACAGATGCACTATTTTTCACAGTACTGAAAAGTAACCTTGAAAAAGTCCCAACACAGTGACCACTGCAATGCATGAATAAATAACTTGGCCCCCAACGAGGACACCAGCATTTGTGAAACATACTAAGTCAAAGAAAGCACCCAGAATGCTTTTCTTTAATACTCACTTACTACAAGTTCCAAGGGGTCAAAATGTAAAGAACACTGCTTAGTGGGGAAAAAAAAAATCGCAAATGGTAAAGATAGTACAAGTAGCCAAAAATTAAGACAGTGGTCACCTACGGGGCAACTCAGGGATGAGTCTGGCAAGGATGACGGTCCAAGGCCCAGTTACGGACTTTGATGAGAAATCTAGGATAGGGTTGGAGATGTCACTTAAGAGGTAGAGTGCCAGCCTCACAAGCACATAGTCCTGAGTTCGAACCTCAGTACCACCGCATACAGAAAGAGAGAGAGGTAGAGAAAGAGACACAGAAAGTAAGAAAGAGAAATTCAGGATATTTATACTACTTGAATTATTAAATCTTACCATAAACGTTTTATTTACTTTTTTGTGAGTATACCTCAAGATGAATAATATAAAAATGAGTTCGGAAAAGCACATTCAAAGTTTTACGTTTGCTTCCTTTGTAATTTGGCAGTGTGGGTCATAATTCACAGACTGGGTAGCCATACAACAATCACAACACGAGATCCCCACACGCCCAGCAAGGCAAGGTCAGAGCACACACTGGCCATCAGGTAGGAGAGCAGTCAGAGTAAGCAAAGACAAACATGCGATATGGTCAATGTACAGTCATCTTTTTTGCAAATTCCCACAGTCATATGCAGAGAAAGAGTTCTGATGCTGACACTAATGATGATATGACACAAAACCAAAAGGACATGCAAAGGCCTATTTGTTACT